TCACTTTCAGTTACTGCACTTTGAAGCCTTATTGAAAGTCAGGGTTTTTTTCATTAAAAAAAGCTTTTTTCATTTTGTTCTCTGTGCTAACCTCCACTCTGGCAACAAAACATAAAAAACCAACCAAACAAAAAAAAGACCTGTCTCCTGTCTTCCTCCTCTCCCTCTGTCAAAATAAAATCATTGCAAACCTGGCCTACCCAGGACACAGAATTTTACCTCCACCTTTCAGAAAGTGACATTGTTTTTGAATGTCCTCTCTGGTCACATTTCCCCATCCAGATTCAAGATGGTCATGTCAGTAGCTCAGTATGCCTTCCATTTCTTGAGAATAAAGAGAAAGCAAGAAAACGTACTGCTTAGGAGTTAAAATACTACACAGTAGAGTCCAGCCAGTACCTCTGGCAGCTACAGACTGTGGAGAACTTATGTGAGCAGAAACCAGGTTATATCCACATCTACGCTGAGACATTTCAGCATCAATTCCAATGGTAGAACCATCCCAGCTGTAGTGCTGAATATAAAGTCCTCTCCTCTTTCATCAGAGCTGCTGCTGAGTGTAGCATTTGCTGTAAATCCTTCATTTTCTGCCTGCGGTTAGATGGGAAAGTCCACAGCACTCATGAAAACTTTCACACCTCTAACTTGTCCACGTCAGTGCAGCTTTATTGTTTCCATGCATCGCTCTGCTCTCAAGGATGATTGCTAATTTTATGCCCAGAATTTACCATATCCTGATGAACAAAAGCAGAGACTGAGTTGTGTGCTGTGATCTTCCATTTGAACTAAGAAATCTGAACCAAAATATGTATCGATTTGTTCTGTTTTGTTGCTTCTTCTGTGTGTATTTTTGTGCGTATATATGTATCTCTTCTACTATCAAGACATTTACTCAATCCCTTTAATTCCAAGGTTATTTTAATAACAGTATAGCTGGATTTGTTTCCAGGACACCACTGTATGTTGTATATCTGAGCCTATCCTCCCCTTATTCCTCGGTTGCCATATGAAAGGGACTGGAGAGCTGCTTTGTGAGTTGTTCCCAAGAGATGCATCTCTGACTTCATTGATACGTGGAAGCCTGAAGGACCCTTTATGGATCTGTAGAAGTGTAGTAAATGAAGAGTCAGAGCAATGTTAACCAGGAGGAATACTTTGGACTTATGTAGCTTCAGGGCCCTGAGCAATGACAGATGAGTCAGAAGACCATTTGTCATTCTGTGTGCGTAGCGTAGGTCCCACCTTGTCTGAATCTGTGGACTTGCAATGGCAACGAAGAGCACAGCGTTTCTTGGATCACAGTCTGAAATCATATCACTGAATGTTTCCTCTCTGCTAATGGCAATAGTAACATACACTTTCCTCAACCTTTTTCCCATCTTAACTACTTAAATGGCAACTAATGCTAACATCTGTTTTGTGCTGTGTGTTTATACAACACTTTTCTACAGCAAGGCTCTGTTTTGGACATTACTGCTGTAAGCAGCTAAGAAATGTTCTGCTAGGTCAGGCCACTGATGAATCCATCCTGCCTCCAGAAGCACTAGGAGGTTCTGTTTAGGAAGAGCAAACAAACCTGACCACTGTCTCAGGTCCATTCCTAGCATCCCCTGTCATGCATCAGGGAAGTTACAGACACATCTCTGCCTTTTCCCTGTTTATGGACGCATTGCTCATGAGTTTGCCTACCTTCTTTTTGGAACTGCTTGTATCATTTGCCTTTAAAACCTATTATGACTACAAATTCCACAGGTTCACTACCTGCTATGTAAAAAAGCACTTTATTTTATTTGTTCTGGGCCAGTCTCATACTTTGTTGGTGAATGATCCCTAGTTCTAGGTGGATAACAGTTTTTCATCCATCCCAGTATCTTTCTCCTCTCTGTTGAGAAGCCTTATCTTTTTAAGTCTCCCCATGTAAGACAGCTGCCCCATCATCAGTCATTTTAACTGCCCTTCTCAGTGCCTTCCCTATGTCCATTCTGTCCTTCTTGTGGTGCTGAGACCAGAACAGCGCACAGGATGTGGGTGCACCTGGGTTTTACATATTGGCAAAAAGATGCTCTCTGCATTGTTCTCAACACCCTTCCTGATGGTGCTCAACAATCTGATCCCTCTTTTGGCTGACACTGCATCAAGCTGATGAATGAAACTGTGAATAACTAATGAGAATATGCTATTGTGATGGAGGCTGGCTGTGGGATGAAGTTAAATATAGCTGCACTGATTTATTATTTTTTTTTAGAAACTATTTAATTGCCAGTTTCAGTGAAAGACAGATATTTATCAGCCAGGGTGACTGCTCTGAATTGGACAGCTTTGGATTACTGTATATTTTGCAGTCTTCCCTTTCTCTCTGCCTGGAGCATAAGTAATACACTTTACTGTATAAACTACAGCACCCATAAGTAATACGCCTGCACATTCCTCCTGGATTTGTGTGCAAGAGCCCAAGGCCATTTTAAACTTCAGTCTCTTGTTCGAAAACTTGATTACAAGGATGTGAAAACGCTTCCCTCTGATGCTGCCTTTTGAAGACATTTATGATTCAGATGCACAAATTAACTTTTGGATGAAAGTGCACTAGAAGCTCTAGCCTAGGAGCAACACCAACCCAGTTTTTATAATCCTGACACACAAAGCTTTAATATAAGCCTGCAGAATAAACAAAATTTATCTATAGAAAAAATTAGGCATCCACAGTTGTAATTCAGGGAATTTCCAGCAGGTTAGTATTAATCTGTAAAGGGCCTGTAGCCTGAAATGCAAAATTGAACCTCTAATTCCTGGGAAGTTCTTGTCTGTGATGGATATTGCTGCTGAACAATGAACAACAGGAAGGCTCTTAAAAAATTCTGGGCTTTTAATTTCTCTTTTTTTTTTTTTTTTTTTCAGCATGTGAACTCCCAAATTCTGGCATGAATCTGCAACTCATTGCTGTCCAGCTCTTTCCTGTGGTCTGCATGGCTAGCATTCAACCAGCACATGCTGTGAAGACCAGAGGCCCTGATCCAAGGAAGCTCTCAGACACATGTGACCTTTTTTTCTCCACAGAGCTCTCAAAATGTAATCAGAATAGCTGGGAATATTTATCCAGTTATTTTAAACAGTCCCAAGCAGATGATTATTTCTTCAGTTGGTACACACACAAAAGTTTACTACCATTTTTTTCAATGAATCAGATAAAAATTGCGCTTCTGGTTTTTTTGTTGTTTTTGTTTTTGTTTTTGTTTTCTTTTGTCTTGGTTTTGTTTTTTTGTTACAAAAAATTACACTTTTTAGTGCCTTATGTTTCTTGGCATTTCATACTGTGGCCATCTTCAGCGTATCTGAGCTTATTCAGCTACCAGTGAATCCTGATTGCTCACTTCTTGGGTGCAGGCAGCATCATATTGCTATCTGCATATGTTTTGCAGGCAAGAAATTCTTCTGGAAAGGAGTTAGTCCTTTGAGGTCTACTAACAGTAAGTATTGTACCCTAAAACAGTAACAAACTTCCCCACTCTTTCTATTCCAGCTGAACTTCACCCAATAAGGAACTATGGCAAAAGCAATGCCACAGTTACAATTAAATACATACATTTAAGTTCTATTCAATCATAGAACTACTCCACTTTGCTACACATAAATTTCTTTGTTCCTTATGACTCTGTGCGCTTCAGCAGTGAGACTTTCTCCCAAAACTTCGTAGGCCTTCTCTGCTGGGTACTGGACATAGGAGTAGCTGTGAGAACTCAGCCACAAGTATTGCGTGAGAAAGTGATCATCATAAACTCTGCATAGGCTGTGCATGAAAAGAGGACACTCAGAGTTTGGAGACAATAACACCAACTTCAGGATTCTTATAAATCTGAACAGGTCAGAATCCCAATTCTTGCTGTCTCAATGCATTTCGTTTTTAATGTCCCTCCTCAGGGCGAGATGTCACTGCTGATTAAATCAGCAGAAAGATTCCCACTGAATTTTGGGGGTAGCCTGCTCAGTTGGTAGGTTGTTGTACTGGAAAGGCATGCAATTAACAATGCCACAGTGTTCTCACTCTCAAATCTGAGGATGACCAAGTACAATTGCTCAAGTGAGGTTGCGCAGCATAACCAGGATCTGAAGCTGTCACGGTGGCTAGTTGTATTTTAGATGCAAGTGAAACTCTGCCCAGGCAGAAGCTACAGTTCAGCAATTTAGAGCCACCGGGGCTCTTTGCAGGCACACCAGGGGTTTTGAGTTAAAGGTGTAATTTCCAAATTGTAGGGTTTGATCTGGTGAGGTAAGCTCAGCATAACAACTTCACCGCAGCCAGTGAGACTTCTGGCAGCTGTGTGGTTCATCAGAAGAGTCGTCAGCCAGACAGTAATTCCCAGGTGCCTTGTGCTGAATGGATGGGATAGATAAGACGCTTTATGAATGGATTGCATATAGTGCTTATTTCCTTACTTGAGCGTGCCCCGACGATTTTAAAAATAATTGGCTATTTCCCCCTAGTCTTATCGGTACGCAGGTATGTCCTGCCCCGGCATCAACTCCAAACTTGCGAGGAAATACAGACAGCTTTCCCATAATCAAAGGTACGCGACGTGAACTGTCCCCCCCCCCCCGGCTTCCCTCATCTGAAATGAATGAACAGCACAAGAAGCCCGGGCAGTAAGGGAGGTGATAACCGAGTGACGGGGCTCAGCGCGCGGACAGGACGCAGACAGCTTTCGGAGAGGTCCGTCCGTCCCGCAGCGGTATGGGATGCCGGGAGGAGGTGCGTTTAGGCCGCGGGGAGGCGGCCCTTCCCGCCGCCGGCCGCCCCGCTCGCCCCCACAGCCCGCCCCGCGCAGGGCTTCCCCCGGGCGGCGGCGGCTCCCGGCCCCGCCCTCGGCCGCGCAGCGCTAGGGGGAGGGCGCGCCGCCGCCGCCGCCGCCTGGGAGGGCGGCGCAAGGGTGGTTCGCCGGGCGGTGCGGGGCGCGCGGTCCGGCCATGTCTCCGGGGGAGGTGGCGTCGGGCTGAGCGGCCGTGCGCGCGGCGGGGAGCGATCTCCGCTACCATGAGGCGGCTGCCGCTGCTCCCGCCTTTCCCTCTGCTGCTGCCGCCGCTGCTGCTGCTGCTGCCCGCCGAGGTGAGACCGCGGCTCGGGGGTCGTCCGAGCGGGGCGCAGCCCGAGCGCCGCACCTGCCCCCGCGGAGAGGCCCGCGGCCGGCGGGCAGGTGTGCGGGCGGCTCGGGCTTTGTCCCGCCGGGGCCGCCCGCGGAGAGGCCGGGGGGCGCCGCGGGGCGGGCCGGCGCTCACCTGGGGCCGGCGGCGGCCTCTCGGCGGGGTCCGAGCCCCGCCCGGCATCGCGCTGAGCGGCGGCCGCCCGCCGGCACCGGCGGGGATGCGGAGGAGGCGGGAGCCGGCGGAGCGCGCTGCGGGCGTTCGCCTCACCTCTCCGGCGGCTGCGTTACGGACGGCGGGGAGACGGCTGCCGTCCTCTCGCTCGGTATCGCAGCCCGCTCCGGTCGCGAGCCCGCTGCTTAATCAGCGATGTCGTTCGCTCTTCTCCCATGCCGGCGGTGCGTGTCGCCCGCTGGGCCGTGGCTTTCAGCGGTGATTTGGGAGTATTCCGCAGACAAATGGTGCTGGGGCACGGAAGGAGGGGACCTGGCGGCGGGTCGGTCCGAGGCCTCCCTCAGCACGGTGCTGTGCTTCAGGCCTCCTCCCTCGGTGCCGGAGCGCGCACGGACCTCTCTTCCAACAGCACCTTTTGGTGATGTGAGTCGTGGTCCCTTGCCAGGCCCATCGCGGCTTGGCACAGACCTTTGCCCCGCACTCTTCCCAGCTGATGACTTTCTAACGTTGGCACTGTGACCGCTGCAAACTCTGATGTTTCAGGGATCACTGAACTTTTGCTTCCAGAAATGTTGGCTGGGCTGCTTTGCCGCAACAGCTTCTTCTACGGAAGCGTGAGCACGTTGGGTACCAACCAGAGTGCTTGGTAATGTGTGGTGACAGTTCCCCCCGGCTTATATTTCAGTCCCACCCTGACAGTCACAGAACAAGATGATACCACTGCTCTATTTTAGGTATTTTTTCCCCAGTCTCACATTGGTACCAGTTCAGGATTACAGACAGTGTGTATCCTAGATCATTGCTTCCTCCTTGTGTTTCATTCAGCTCGAGCATCTTGCTTTGTAGTAGATGATGGAACACTGTAGTTCTATCTCTGCTTTGCTGTTGCACCAAGCCTGGAAATCCTGCTGTGGTCTGACAGTGCTGAAGTCGACAGGTTTTGACATCCTTGGTTATGATGTTAGGCATGTACCTGTGAACATGAAGTCTCGTGCCAGGAGTCTTCTTGCCAGACCTGCCCTCTTGATGCTGGTCAGCACCTTAGGAAGTTTTCATCCTCAGGAGCAACTGCTTGGTCTCCTGAGGGAGATGGAGGGAAAGTCCCTTAAGGCTTGGAACTAAGTCCTTGCTGATGGCATGGTTGTGAAAAATCACTCACCTGTTTGAAATACCTTAATTTCAATCTGGCACTTGTAGCTGGGAGAGGGGTGGCTTGTGTGGAAAAAATGCATGTTAGACTTATATAATCCATTAATGCTGACAATAAGGGTGCAGAACAAAACTTTGGAGGGAATGATTGCTCGATGCATGGTTGGTTTTGCTGCCCATTCCATCCAAGTGCCGCTCATGCGGCTTTGTCCTCTAAAAGTCAGGATGGCATCTAATAGCGCGTAGTCTTTCTCCATGTGGTTGGGTTCTTGGCACAGCTTGAGACGGATGTCTGAGCTGGCTGATGTCATTCATGGTGTGCTGTTTGTGCAGGTGTGGGGACGTGGCCTGGGGCTACCTGGGGAGTTACCCAGCTGATGGCTGAGGAAGGCAGCAGCTGGTGGGACCGTCAGGCACGTGCCATGAGCAGGCTTCATGCGTTGCCACTGAGAACTTCCTCCTTGTCTACAGCCTCCCTGCCAGCCCACGAGAGGAAAGGCAGCGAGTCGGATGGCTCAGCTGGATCTGGCCTCCACGTTTCCTCAGATGACAGCGGTGGGTTGATAAGGGGACAGCACTCCTAACACAGACAGCATTGTCGGCCCAACGCACGCGAGGGCCAGGAAACATCCCGCGCTGTGGAATGGCTGTGTCACAGCAGTTCCTTGGTGGTGTGACAGGCATATGATCTTTCTGTGGTGTCTTATACTCCAGGATAAGCATCTTCCCTATTTTTTTCTTTCTTAAAAAGTTACAAAGTAATGGTCAAGGTTGGAATTTCTTAAAACTAAAAGCAAAAGAAAGGTATCTTGCTTTTGCTTTCATGGGAGCTAGTGATTTGAAAATGGTCCTGTTAGTGATATGGCAACATAATATTCATTGCTCAAAAGTAGTAGACTTTTAAGCTCCAGCATTTTTGTTTTTTGTTTGTTTGGGATTATAAATACCTTTTATGCAGGCCTCATCGGCCTGTTCTTACAGCATATTCCCTGCACAGATACTCTCAGTGATGCTGCATGAGACCATTGCATAGGACTATGATTTAATTGCTGATCTAAATTTCCAGCTGAGGGATATAAATGAAGCACCATCGTGTTAAAATGTGCACTTGCTATGCATGTGTTGCACATCAGCATTTCTTTCTGCTGTATATTGGTTGTTGTTAATCATCCTTGTTGATTCTTCTCCTTGATGGAAATCTACCTTTTAGCTTCGTACAATTGTTCTAGGTAATCCTCATCGCATGAAAGAAAAACATGTTAAAAATAAGTGCTCTTTATGAAAATATTTAGCAAATGTTTTGTCATAGTTTTATCTATGCCCCATCCCTGGAGGCATTCAAGGCCAGGCTGGATGTGGCTCCGAGCAGCCTGGTCTGGTGGTTGGTGACCTGCACATAGCAGGGGGTTGAAACAGAAGATCATTGTGGTCCTTTTCAACCCAGGGCATTCTATGATTCTATGATACCTATGGCTCATTTAGAGTAAAAGAGTAAAGCTTGAGAAGTGTAAGGCTGCCTACCTGCTGCTGTGGACAGACTCCCGAAGTAAAACCTTTAACTACCACCATTAGCACACAGCTCTGGGCATCCCTGGTCTGGAGACCTGAGCACGTCTGGAGCCAGGCTGTGTAGAGCAGAATGAGAAGCTGTGGCTGTGAACTGTGCTCACTTGTGTCAGAGGAGCTTGGAAATGTACTTATCTGTCAGGACAAGTTGTTTTCTGTACTGACTGATGGTTGATGCTGAAATGCACTTCCATTCTTGTACTATGCCACAGCATAGCTTTGTTTCAAGATCTTCTGTACATTCAGAACAAGAATAGACAGTGTGATCACCTTCCGTAGTACACAATAAAGGTGCTGTTTTCCATGTGGCTTGGATATACGCAGTGCCTGCATCTTGCAGCACACTCAATTGGATTCCAGTACTTGGGTTTTAGTCTCCAGCCAGCCACACACAGCAAAATATCATCTTCTGCATATTTGAGATCTGAATTCAGGCCCACAGTGGAAATGTTGTCTGTGCAAACAGCCACGCTATTATTAGTACTTCCTCAATTATGTGAGCTACATGCCAGTCTTTGTTGAGGTTTTTCATGGCATGTAAATTTTTTTGGTTGGAGCTACTAAATATGAGAGAGAAAAATTGCTACTGTTTCAAATTTTTTGGTTGCTTACTGTGTAAGGCTGGATTTTACTAATCCATACCATTTTAATTTGTGCACCTCCATCTTCCTAGTAAAATTACAGTGTATGATAGGACGAGCATTTCGACGAAATTGGGAACCAGGAATTTTCATGTTTTTGGGCATGAAACCCATCTCAAATCTTTTTTTTTTTTTTTTTTTTTTTCCCTTGCTTCCTTGCTTATTTAAAAGAAAATTCTTTCTGTGAGCAAAGCCATTGAAACAGCCAGTTGCTGCACAGCTGGTTGCTAGCCTGATGTGACTGCTTTTTGTCAGACTCCAAAATTTGAATCTAAATAGTACCCTGAACATCATTGAAGGTCACTGCGAGGATAAGAGGAGCTAGCTGATTTTTCTTCAGCAGAAAGAGCCTACTGCTAGAGAAAGAGATCCTTGCCTTAAATAGAGCCATCAGTAGGAAATTAGATTTCAGCAGGAGATGACTGCAGAGGAGGACTTCAATTGTGATGGGATACAGCAAGTTAGTGTAGGTGAGCGTGTGCTAATGCAGAACGTTAGAAAGCTACGTGTGGGGAAGGAGGTGATCAGGCATGTGCAGGAAGAGAAGAACAAAACAGATGCACTGCTCTGGAAAACTGCACCAAGGCTTTTCTCTGAGTGCTTCCCAGCTGTTTCCAAACGTATCTGCAGCTAACCAGGCTCCTATTAATCCAAAATTGCAGGAGAAAATCCAAGATCAAGTGGGAAAGGTCTTCCTGTAATCCAGCAAAGGACAGACACATACATGTGGTCGAAACAGAGTTGGATCAATGAAGTCATGGCTCATTTAGTTATCTTCTGAGCTGCTGGTGGCTGAAAAGGCAGGCAACACAAAACTGCAGCAGTCGCAGTCTGATGCTGTTGGTATTTGGAACCTCACTGAATGTTTTTATGGTTGTTTTTCTACTGCCACCAGTCAATTAGAAGAACCTGTAGTGATTAGAAACCTGTAGTGCAACTGTCACTCTTTTCCCACTGAGATACTCTGGGCCATGTGAGAAAGCCTCTGTCTCCACCTGCAGAAATTAGATACGTAACAGAAAGAAAAAGAAACTGTGCTTTCATCTGCACCTCAGAGTAGTGGAAATTGTAACTACAGCTAGATCTAGAAGTAGGAACCCCAGCTGGCACCTGCTGGTGTACCAGACCTGTGGGGGCTGTAACTGGTCTTTGCTTAACCGTGCTCCATTTGTGGGCAAGAAGACTAAAGCCTGCATCTGGAATGAGCCCTGTGCTGGGGCGCATCAAGGAGTTTCCCTCTTCCCTTTCTTTGTCTTCTTCTACCTCCCTTTTGTGTGCTTTTGTTTGGTGTGCTTCTGCCTTTTCTAACTGACTCATACGGTTTTAGCCCAACTAAATGAGTAAAAGAAATGCCCAGAATGTCACTGATGAGTTCTCAGTGTACGCAATGTTTTGGTTGCATCTCTTAAAAAAATGTTGGGGTTTTCTGTTTTCT